GGAAAGATTTGAGAAATACAAGCAGAGGCTTATGGTCTTTGTGTATATTCACTTCCATGAGAGAGGGATGAGGACTGAGGATTTCAGAGAAAAACTGTGTCTGAAAGTCATATGTGACATGAAGACTTAAGAGTTTTAGATCCCTAAGGAAAAGGGAGTGCAGAGGTCAGACATGTAATGTAGAGAAAGATGTGGAGACAAAACCAAGACAAAAGTAGGAGAAAGCAAGAAAGAAAACAGTAGTAACAAGGATTTAAAATTTTGGCCTTTGTGATAGTCTTTGCTGGGTGAGACTTGGTAGAATAATTAATTTTAGGAAGTCTTATTTCATCATTTTAAAGAGATTTTAAATTTTAACATGTGCATTCTTGTACCCAAGCAAGCATCCTACTGCTTTATGGCTTCCCACTAGATTGATAATGAAAGAAACATTGATTAACAATTGCATCTGAAGGCAGGAAAAAGTCATAATTGTTAGGCTTTAGATAGAAAAAAAACTATGATAATGAAATGGAGAAGAATTGTTGTAAGTGGATTTCCTGTTTCAGAAAGTTGCTGGAAAAGTTAAGTTTTGGAAGTACCTTGTTTCCACTTGTTTCACTAAGAGAATTTGCTGTTTGGTTTACATAAAATATTAGGATAACGATATTAAAATGCCAGAAAGAAAAATATTAAATTTAAATGAAAAATTTTGATTGAACTGTGCAATATTTATTCTTTGACTGTTGTTTCCCCAGATTTGTAAAAATCTAAATTAAAAAACCAAACAACCAACCCTTCCATCCAGTTCTGAATGTATGTCAGTCTGTGCACATAATGTGACTGTCATCCATTACGGTGCGTAACACAGTGAACAGCAGTGAAGGATATGAAAAGAAAGACGTTTTTCTCACTGATCATTTAAAAAAAAACTTGCTGTTGACATCTGCAGGTTTGTGGCACAGAGCACGGCAAGCATTTGGCTTTATTCTTGTAGCACGTTCATCAACTGATGGTTAAAGCTGATGGTTCGGTCCTTTTTGTGAAATAAGATGGAACTCAGATTTTATTCATGGGAATGATTTCTACTGCTAGAGCATACTGGTTTGAGTATTAACACAGTGATACTGCTAAATATTGTCAGATGATCTCACTTATTTCCCAGTGCTATGCAGTGGTTATTTAAATATTATTATTTTGGAATCTAGATAGAAGTCATTGGAAAATTTGGAGTCAGTTTTGGTGTCAACATAAACCCTCAAAGAAATCTACTCCTCCCCATGCAGTAATGTACTCTGCTGGACTGCTGAACTCTCTTAATGGATTTCCTTTCATTTTCAGGGAGAAGAAGCCGATGATGATGACATATACAATGTGCTCTCCACATTAAAGAGGTTGACCTCTTTTCACAAGTAGGTGATTTTTTTTTTTCCCCTCAGAAATCTACTATGTTAATTTTATCATTTCAGTGAGTATCAGTGGATGTCTAGTGTTAAGAAATGAGAGAATATACAGCCTGAAATATGAACTAGAGATTGATGAATGATTAGCGGTATTTGTCAGTATAACTGTTTGGATTAAGCTGGGTCCTTGCTTAGTTAATGCCATTACTTTTACAGATTTGATTTGCAAGTGGCGTACCATCCCTTTACTAAATGCTTTTATGCTTATGAGTGTCTTACTAAAAGTCATACTCCCATGCATGACAGACAGTCTCTGGCACCACTGGATGCAGGCCAAATCTGTGCTTTGAGCCTCAGCTTAGGAGAGCCCTGGAGGAAGTTGTTTCTCTCAGTTTCTCAATGCCTTTGAGGTATTCCTCCTCAAAATTATAGAAATAAGTAGTAGTAGTAATAATAATAATGAATAGTTTATGGTGAGTGTCTGGAAGATGCGTTCTCTTCCTGCAGAAATGCCAGGAATAGTTTGTAGTTGAATTGTTGGCAAGGTCTAACTGTGTGGATTGTACAGAAACTCCTTCGCTAAGCATGAACCAGCTCAGGGGAACCAGGCAGCAGCTTTTCAGGGTCCTGCTGCTCTCAATTAGACTTACGGGCACCCTCATAAGTCGTAAAGCAACCTGGAAAATTTCACTTGAACTGTGAATTTTGGAGCATAGTGCAAAGACCTAATCTTCCCCTCCTATCAACTGTAGGAAGTAATTGCTCCAGGTCAGCATGTAAGAAACCTTCATATGCAGGTGGCTGAGCCACAAATCGTTTCTTCCTTATCACAAGATGTGAGGGGACCTTGCTTCTGCCAGCTCTTTTATACAAACTGTTTTTAGGGATTTCATTTCTCTTTTCTTTCTGTGCTTAGTCTTCACTTATCCTGAATTCTGCATTGGATCATTGTATGAAATGGTTCTGAAATATACGCTCTTTGTTTCCATTCAACAAGAGTCCCACAGAGATCGTCAAATCGTTACTAATTTCCGTAGTGCAGCAGGCTGACACATGTGCAAATTAGTTTTTCAGTCTCCCTGGTAACACGCTAGAGCCGCTTCTGCCTTTCCTGAGAGGACTGGTGAAAGCTATAGTTCACATCCAAGAAAGAAGCACAAATCTTAAGGCTTTTCTAAGAGTCTCCCATATGTATTTTTTTCCTTTAGGGTTCCAAATCTCTAGGGAGTTAATTCGGACTATGAAGAAAGCCCTGTAGAATAACACACAAATCAGGGTCAGGGGTATCTACCTTCACCTTCAAAAAATAGGAAAGAGAAAAGACTCAAAGCTTAAGAGCTGAAGAGCAACTGTGTATCATTTCTTAGCTGATTTGTTATTTGTGATTATAGTTCAATGGGAATTTCTAATTAATATCTGCTTGCATATAAAGAAGTAATGAAATCTTTTCATTACTCTACTGAATGTTACGTCTGATGTGATTTCTTTGTGAAGGGAAACAATTATGCCATCCGAGACAGAATTTTTGCCGAACCTTTAGCTATGAGATTAGGATCCTCAATTCAAAACTTGCATTGAGTGTTCTCATCTCAAAGAACGGTGGCTGTTGTCTGATACTGTCGTTGTCTGTCACCAACTGGGAGCCAAAATAAATTAAATCAATGGAAGAAGCTGAAATTGCAGGCTAACAACTGATAGCTTTCAGATCTTCTGAAAGTGCACTGATAAAGTAGTTGCTGAGACTTCAAAAAGAAATAAGTCCCTCTCACTGGAAGAAGAAACTCCACTGTACCTTATCTGTGCTTGTGTTTCCTTGGTAGTTGCTGCTTCTTCATATTTTAGGAAAAAGAAGCCCAGCAAGGTGGAAAAAAACATGGTAGGGGATTATCAGAAAAACCTTCCAGTCCAAAAAGCTTCTATACTGAGATTTCCCAAGCCTAAGCTAATCCTCTTTCTGAGAGGGTTATGGCAACAAAGGGCTCACAGCACACTTATTAATTCATGTCTTTTCATCGAACAAGGATATCCGTATTCCAATACAAATTAAATTCATCATTACAGTGTTTCCTTCCAAGTTTTCAGAATATAATAATAAATTTTCTTGAGGTCTTCTGAATAGAACACCTGGAGTGTATACTTGGGCTTCTCTCTTTGCTGGGGTCTCACGGATATTTATGGCATTTTTTTTTTGTCCTTAAGTACATGGAGACAATTTTTCTATACTGACTCCAGCCCAATTCAACTGAACTTTCACACATCGGTGCTGTAACAGTTTGTATGCTGCAGCAGTTTGTAAGCTGCAAAATATCAGCATTTCTTATTTAATTCCTTCAGTTAATTCAATGCAAGATGCATGGATCTCAAGCATCATCTCCGTTACTGTGGATGTGCCCTTTGATGCTGTCTTGTCTGTAGAACATTGTTTCACATTTAGAGATCAGGATAGTTGGTATCACTGTCCAGTTGTCCTCAGGTATGGTATAGAATTTGATTCCTTCCTGCCTCCACACTGACTTCCTAAGCCTGCAGTGGCTATGGTAACTCTCCAGATATGTGTCATGTTTTTATCAGTATAAGCATGATCAGTCAGGACTCTTCCCAGATAGGTAAATTCATGGTCAGACCAGCAGATCTTCTTTTCCTGTTATAGAACCCCTTTGCTTAACCTTTTTTCCAGTAGTTGACAAGTACATCCTTCAGACTGAGTTACTCAGAAGTTTCAGATATCCAGAAGTAGCAGCAATGATGAGAAATGAAACCTCAGTAGAGACATTAGATTGTATCTAGCATAGCTGTTACAGCAAAGACACAGAAGGGACTAAGGGAAAATTCTGTGTTGTGTGAATTTTCATGCTGGGAGCCTCTATGTCAATCTGAACCTCTGTGGAGAATTGTGTTGTGTCCAAGGTACCTTTATAACTATCGTTTTGATTGCTAAGTAGTTCGAAAGAGACAAAGGTGTACCAGAATATGCCTAAATTTAACATGGAGGCTCTTTAAGGAAGTTTATATTGAAAAGCCCTATGCAACTTGTATACAGTTAGAATTTTTCAGCTTTGGAAGCTGAAAAGCTGTTCTTGAGATCAGCTGTAAGGCCAGGCTCAGAGCAGAGCTAAGCTGCCCCCCCCATCCGGGTGATGGGGCATGCCCTCTGGGGATGGCTGCCTGACATGGAGGGCTCTAAAATGAAAAGGCAGAAATGAGACAGTTTTTCCTTTCGTATTCTCTGTAGGATAATCTATGCTGATATCTGCCTCTGCACACCAAGGAGATTTTACTGCTTTAATTACAGTGCTGTAATTAAGGAGGTACAGCTCTGCCTTGCTAGCAACCATGTGATTTACTGAAGCAGCATCTATGTGCTTAATATCACTGGTCAGAGGCAGTTCTCTGACAGCCTGTAATTTATCTATGAAACGTTTTTTTTTTGTACATTGAAGACCATCTGAAATCTAAGGTGGGAGGAGTATTTTTACATTTTTGTTTCCTTTTTTTTTAAGTTTTCCTATTGTTCTGTTCATGGATCTGAGTTAGAAGTCAAGATGCACCTTGGCTTAATGACACAACCCTAGAGCACGTACTTCACTTGCTCTCAGCACAAGGGCATTAATTGTTACGTTTTTTGTGAAACTTTTATCTGTGAGGTTTTTCAGGGCTAATGTGCTCCAGACTGGGAAGCATTTCATACTAGGGGTTGCGACAGGATCTAGGCATTCTCGGTCTTGAGTTCAACCTCTGTCCGTTTTGGAACCAGAGAATTATTCTTCCTGGCTGAGCAGGGTAGTTAATTATTTAAACAAAGTCAGGCAGCTCCAAAGCAGGGCAGACACAAAGGGGTGGGAAAAGTGAGCATATCTTGGTGATCAAGGTGCTGGGATGAAAGGGAGCCAGATGCAAGAGACTGCTTTATCTAATTTAGACTTGCCAGTTCAGTATGAGTAGCCCTTCTAGGTGAGTATTTTAATCAAGTTTCAGATTATTCTGAGGTGGCTTGCTCTTTTATGAATGTATTATAAGCTGTTTCAAATTATCTCAGTTTAACTCCACTGCAGAAAAATGTCTTAAACCTATATTTTTTTGTGAGAGAATTTTTGTCTTTCAGGCAACCTGGTGTTTTGTAATTTCTTCTGTATTTCTCAGTTCTGTATTAAGCTATATCATGAACTGTTGAGGTCTGTAAGGTTGTAGAATATATGTTGCTAATCTCATTTGTATTCCTCTTGCTGGCAAATCAGGTTGGTACAACTGAAATGTGAAACAATGAATGGGGGGGTGGCAACCACCATTTCTGTCTCATGTACATGTATGTCATGCTGTCTTACTTTAGATATTTCAGGATATTTAATATCTAGTGATAACATATGTTCTTTTTCTCCAAATGATACGGCAGAAAAATATGTAACTTTATTTTGCTTAAAGCCATTTTTCATTCAGTATATATTACTAGACTTCAGCTATAGTTTCTGCTGCAATGCCGGAGAAGTGCCTTCTGGCGTTCTGTCAGTGTTTAGCACCAAAGAGGAAAGATGATTTAGAGGCAATGCTGAGAAGGAGCCTGTAGCTACACTTAAGTAACCTTTAAAGATGTATGGTATGCAGAGAGTTCATCTCCTCCCTGCAAAAATCTCATGTAGTGAAACATTTTTCTTCAGTTATCAGAAAACCGAACTTCTGCTTTTACAATGATGTGAACTAATTGTGCAGCTGCTTTGTCAGCAGGCTGTATTGTCTCAGTTTTGCAAAATACCAAAGCTCGCTGAGCTGCCAGGTCGGACGATATTCTCGCTGTGATGTGGAGTTTTGAGGAACACAACTAATCTCTCTTTATTACCTCTCGTTCTAGTGCGCATGATCTCACTAAATGGGATCTCTTCAGTAACTGCTACAGATTACTAAGAACTGGAATTGAACACGGAGCTATGCCAGAACAGGTACAGTTAGCAACACCTGCGCTGCATCATTTGGGGATTCAAAGTTTTAAAAAGTCTGGTCGTAGAGAAATTCAAAAGATCAGTGCACTAGACCAGTTATGTAGGAAAAACATAGAGTTTTGAATGGAATTTATATTGTAGTGAGGCACTGTCCAAGAGGTGAAAAATCTTGGATTCTGTGGTTCTTTTTGAGGTACTTGCCTCACCTTTCTCATCTGTAAAGTAAGGAATAACTAATGTTCCTGGCTGTGAAAAACAATGCATAAATCATGAGGTTTACACTGAAACCCAACATTCGTAAACCTTGGCTGCAATTAGAATTATCACGAACGATTATTGTGCACTGAAGGTAAGATGGAAGCTTATGAAATCCAGGAGACAAGAACATTTAGCAGGGATGCTGACCCGCCTTTCCAGTGGAATTCTTGGACTTTGTTTTGTCCTGGTTTGGTTTTAGTTTCTCATGGATGAGCACAGGGAGCACTTCACGTTCTCCAAGGATTCCAGTCTAAACTGCAGACTGCTTACTCCAGCATTTCAGCACGTTAAGTTATAATTTGATTTCAGTTAAAAGGCAATTGTTATTTCTCAACTTCATTTAGAAAAAAAAAATTCTCATGAAATTCTGTACAAGTATTTTCTAAAAAGGACCAAATGGAGGACACATTGCTGCACGTCATGTGAAAGTGATGGCTTTAAGCTGTGGGACCTTCCGCTCTCTCTGCAGGGGCTACTTAATACTGGAATTGTGCTACCTGGAGGGAAGGGGCCGGCAGATAAAAACTGTCCCTGCAGCTACCAGCCATCTTCAGTTTCTGGGTTTGACAGGGATATGGCTCCCCAAATACTTCTGTAAGATCTTAGGAAAAAAGTCCTGAAATCTGAACTGTTCTCAGCATTTCTTCCCCTAGTCCACTCGAAGCAGTTCGCTGAAAAAGAATGGTTTGATCTTTAGTGATATCTTTCAAAAAAGTATTTTGTGAAATGATTGGAGCTGTTACAAACATGATTTATTCTGCACAGAACCACAAACTGTTGCAAGCATCTTTAAGCCAAAAAGATTTTGAAATTTTTAGCACCTAATATAGATTTGAAATTTTTAAAAGACACCATGGATGCTTTTATGGGCACCATAAATATGAGCCTAGTCTTCTCCATGAGAAAATTTGTGTATTCTCCCTTTTTCTGGCAATTGGGCTACATGTTCATTTGACAATGGAACAAATTTCCAGACAGTTTTACTAGCAAAGTCAGCTTTAGAGGTATTTAAACAGATGCTTTTGACCTGAGATATGTAGATGTTGCGTTGTATTTCTGTCATGCTGTGACAATCACCTCTTGCTGTATTCTAATGCACAGTTTTCTGTTCTGTTTCCCAGCATTTACACAGTATTTTTTTCACCTGTAGTAGGTTGGTTTCTTATTGCACCCAACTGACTAAGGGAAAACATAATATCCTTGAAAACAAAAAGTACTACCTAAGAGCTACTCCTATTTCTTCTCCCCAAAACACATTATAAATTTTACATACACTTTACAGATACGCTGGGTGTTTCCAATGTGCTGGGATTCTTTGTGTTCCCTCTGTTACAGATAGTTGTTCAGGCACTGCAGTGTTCCCATTACTCTATTCTCTGGCAGCTGGTGAAAATCACTGAAGGCTCCCCTTCCAAAGTAAGTAGGCATTTGATCGTACAGATTTTACTGAAGAAACACAACTTGCCTAAAAAGGCCTTAGACCTGATTCTCTGTAACTCCAACCACTGTACCATCATTTTGTGTCATCATGAAACAGATACAAAACGTTGGTGGTTAGATTTCTTTGCTATTTCAGTATCTATTTAACATCATGCGTGTCTCAATAAGCTATACAAACAGTAGAAGCTTGTCTTTATCAGGTTTTTATACTAGCTGATTTTTGTATTTTTATTGCTGAAGATACTTAATGCACTTTATTGTGAGTGTGCATTTTGCATGAATGGATAAGTAATGTTGACAATGCTTACCTAGTAGTTGTAAGCAATACTGTTGATCTGTACACCACAGATAGCTTAATATTTCTGTGTATTTACCTTGCTTACCTTTTACTTACATATTTTATGTTGCTAAATATAAATGTAAGGCTACTAGCAGTGACGATTACTGATAAAAAGTAAGCGCACGCAAGTGTAATGCAGTAAGGACAATATTACCTGTAACTTGTTTGTTATACTTAGCTTTTCCAGGACTGTTCCTTAGCTCTTTTCTCAATCAGAGGCCAACATCCTGTCTTTTTAGGGCTTTTTCAAAAGTAATACATCAAATTAAAGTGGTAGGAAAACTGAAGTAGTGAGTGTACTTCCCCACCAGCATCAAAAAGAAAAAGATGTTATATTGAAGTACTACTAAAATAAGCATTTTATGGACATAAAAACGATAAAAATACATTGTAAATTCTTTGAGTTGTTTTGAATATTGACATATATTGACTTTTTTAAATAGATATTAGGAAAAAAGAATAATTGGTATTCTTTATTCTGACTTTCGTTCCCACTTTCCCCTCAGCTTCTTTAGCTTCTTTCTCTTTAGCATGCTGGTAGTATGTAATATTACATCTTGACTCTATAACTGAGAAAACTGAACGCATCCCATTTGTTTTAAATGAACTCAGAATCTCATCACAGTAAAGCATCTGAAGTCCTCCTAGCTAGCAGCATTGTTATCCTTAGGGAGAAATTTCACTTTGACAGGAGGAGCTAAGTAACTGAAATAAACTCCGGGACGCCATACATTGCTTCAGCCCTTAAGTCCACAAAACCGACACTCCAAATCTCGTTCTAATGCTTCCCTAGTAAGGAAAACAGGACTGCTGGTTACCTGTGTGGCGAGTGACTTGGGTACGAGGAACCAAGCACTTATAGCAGGTGCACTTAGAGCACCTGGTCAACTGTCCAAGCCTGGACACTGTCTTCAACACCTTTATTTAATTTTTCCCCTTGTGCTCTTGACTATTGGGTCTTGCTAGGCATCTTACCCACTCGTGAAAGGGCCCAACAACTCTGTCCTCCTACTTGCTGGGCCCCTTCAGCAGCAGTGCCCAGTCTTGCCTTGCTTTGGGCGCAAATGTTGGGACACAGAAGGTTCAGTAAGATTCTCATCTCCCTTCACTGCATTTCTCCATTTTTTTGAACTAAATACAGTAAATTGCTGCAGTGTAACATAGTGCAGGGTGATAGCTGTCAGCATTGCTGGAAAAAAGTTTCATATTGTGTCTAAATTATCGCAAAAGAAACATACTTACCATAAAGTACAGCTAGGGACTAACATAAACAGCATTTATCTGCACAGGACCTGGTCAGAAGCTTTGCATTTTGGGGTCAATGTGGACTGTTGTTTGCAGTATTGCCATGATGGTCCAGTTAAACTGAAAGAGAAAAAGACCAGTATTTACTTCAGTGACTGGGTTTTTCTTGCGGACAAGCTTAGTGCAACTGTGTGGCTTTTCCTACTTTTTCAAAATAGGATACATTTGTATGAGACATTGTTTTATGCGGTGAATGCAGAATAGCCTTGATCTTTCATGTATTTCTAATAGCATTCTGATTCCTGTTAGTCATAATGTAGTTCATAGGTATGGAAAGAACTATGACAGCTCTATTGAGAATGACCATTGGAAATACAAGTCAATTCTACTTCTGGAATGCCCAATGAAAATCATAATTACTCTAACGTAGAGAGCTGTTATTAACTTCTTGTTTGGGGTTTAACTCCTCCTCCTACAAAAATAGTGAGTGTTCTGCATGCTTAGTTCAAGAGGAGCACTGCATTAATGCTCTTCAGCTCTTCATACCTGGCCAGCAACCTCAGCTATGCTCACAACAGAAATGGGATAAAGAGAAATCCACAAACCTGATGTGGTTGTAGCATTTCGTTCTGTGTGGGTTTTTTCTATCAAACTTCCCATTATAGTTTGTTCACTGTGAAAATAAATCTGATCTGCATGATATCTGTCATTTAATCCATTAAGAGATCATTTTGCCCGTGGTTGTTTTAGAAGCCATGATTTTGGCTTATAACTTAGCAAACATTAAAGGGGATCACTTCTGAAGTATGATGTATGGGAAGAGAAAGGCATTAACACAAGCATCTGAAAATGGAAAATAGTGTATTTCATGGGCATTTTTTAAGTATTCAGGCTTTTACAAGAACACTTCTGACAACAGTACTTTAATAAGTAGGTCCATCCAGCTTTGTCGTGTTACATTGCTGTAGCTGTAATGATCTAAGGACAGGGGGAGGTGATGGTTTGTAGGCTGAAGTGGAATCTTTAGTCGACCAATGGATATAGCTGTAAAAATTAGAGAGGCTTTGGACACACAAGCCTTTCAGGTTTGAAATAAAAGCAGAAGATTACAAAGCAAAATACAAGCTGAGAACAATTGCTTGGTTTCTGTTTAGATACAGATGAGGTAAACTGTCTCTGAAAGAGAAGGCAAAGGTACCTGCAGGGAAGTGGGAGCAGGGGAAGGCAAGGTGGTAAGACAGTTACTAGAAGTAGGAGCTGGATAGAGGGCAAGAGAAGGAAAAGGCTAATTGGGGAGAGAGGAATTTATAATATGTCATAAACCTAATCTTGAGTCCTTGGTTTTTTGTATCCTTTAGATTTATGAATTTTTGTTCCCAGGCTTGTGTTTAGATGTTTATTTAGATTTCCCTTGGGCATCCAGGCTGGGTGATCAGAGATGAGGGGATTGATTTGTAAGAAATGTTCATCTGCTGCCAGCTGGGTCATTTATGTGAGTTCATGCTGGCAAATAGTAGCTGCTGTGTTTCACCTAGGTAGTTACCATGTAGCCTTCAATGCACAGGATAAAATATATTAACATTTTGGAGTTGTAAGTACAGGATTCAAGGGTGTTAATGTTTCTGTGGGAGGAAGTATTTAGTTTGGTAGTAGTGGGCATGTATTGGCAAAGTTTACATTTCTTAGTCAGGTATGCTCTGGATCCATTAGGTGTACATTTTATTGCAGGGAGTTTGTGGGTGGGATGGGTGGTTCTGGTAAGATTTCTTTCAAAGTGAGTTCTTCGAGTAGAGTTCAAAATTGCTTAATAATTTTGTGTATTGGTTCTAGGGGAGAGTCAGACGTGACAACCAGGGGTGTACAGTTGGGAACAGAATCTTTTCAGAATGAAATTATTCTTTATCTGCTGTTCAGATGGCTCTTCCAAAAATACAGCCTCTCTCCTAAGAGAATTGCCCTTGTTTGGAAACTGTCCTGGGCATTATGCCCAAGCCCAGGGCACATTTATTGCTTTCTGAGGGATAATTTATATTACTGCTCTTGGGTATGTTTTGGATTATGGCTGACTACATGAGGCTAGGTGTGTTCATCTATAGGCTTTATATGTGTGGCAGGGAAAAACTGCTTGACTTCTGTGGTTTAAATCAAATTTGGATCAAGTCAGCTCATTAATTTATTAACACCACATAATTAACCTGCAATCAGTGCAACACAGTGCCACTAGGCCTAGGCAGTGGTTGCAATGTTGGGGTGTCTGACTTGGTTGGAGTGCTGCTCCGTTCCACCCTGAGGTTCCTCTCCATGATCACAGGTTTTCACACTGCTTTTATACTTCTTTACAAGGTGACTCCTCCTTTTCTCAAAGGTTTCTTGGTAATCTCACGGTTACTGTTTAATCTGGTCATTTTAAGCGAATTGATTGTTAACTTTCCTCTTAGCATTATCAGGTTTTAGGCAAACACCCCCTCAGAACAGGTAGTTTTGGGTGTTCTGTTCACAGGCACTGTTGCACTCATGTTCTCATCGTATCAGCTGTTTATCCAGGCTGTGACCAAGAGGGTGCTCTGCAGATTCCCCCACACTGTGTAATATCGTTTGTAGATTACAATTTTGATCATAGAGCTTAAGGAAGTGATAATCAGCATAAAAATGTTTCAAAGACATTTTAATAGAAGGGTGATAATTACTGATTATTTGAATTGGTAACAAAGTCCAAATTCTCTGCCCCAACACAAAGATTCCACCAGTTAACTTAAATACAGCATAAGGTTGGGGCAGAGTAATTTTAAAACTCTTTTTCAAGGTAGCCTGTGAAAAAAGGGACGTACTGTGGAGGCCTCTTGGTGTCTTAAAATCTGGAAGGAAAAACTGATTACTAAAAGGAAGGTTGCAGCAGGTAAGAATGAAATGTGCAAGCCTTGAAATATCCGTAGTCTAATACTCTAACCTTTGGTCTTCCTCTTGTACGTGTTCAGAGGAGGCTGAGGCCATGACTGGGTGGGCTGTCGGTAAGCAGAGTAGTGCTCTGTGGTAAACAGCACAGTACTGGGAGGGAATGGTTTATACTGTGTAGTTTGTGGGAACAGTCTAGGGTAGCCCAGAGAAAAACTGTTCTTTATGTGAAAAGGGGTTTGGGGATGGTTTCAAAGGAAGCTGGTGATTTCTCAGCAAGAGTTCTCTTGTCTGTAGGCCTTGGGGAGCAAGTACAGTCTTGACGTAAGAGACTTGGGGATTAGATTATACAGTTGTTTCCATCTAGATTTCTTCATGTGTTCAATAAACCAGGTGTCTGGAACCATTGTACTATGCACTGTACACGTATGTAATGAAAAAGAAATATTGGCAGAAGAATAGAGCCCAAAATCTTAGAAGAGTAAAAAAAAAAAGCATGAATAGAGCAAATACTCAGAGGCAAGACAAAGGCAAACCAGTTCTGAATGAGCAGCAGCCAGAGTAGCAAATGCATCGCTGTTACAAAGTGATTAGTAGGCAGAGGAGTTTAGTAGAGGGGATTTAAAGAGTGATTTAAAGAACAACGTAGTGACTTGGTGACTTTTCGTATTTATCTGGGCCCAATGAAAGAAAGCACAAAATGCGGAAGGGAAGAAAAGAGTCACAAGGTGCAAAAGGTTGGATCATGTTCCACAGTCGAGTTGAAAGCTAATGGCTCTTGAACATTGTAAAGTTTATCGAGGAGTTGGAGTTGCAAGGAGAAGGAAGTTAATACCACAAGTAAGTAGTTTAGAGGAAAGGCGGTGGGCAAATAGGCAGAAAAGCTTTGGGGTTGGTAGATGAACCTAGCAAAAGCACAGCATTTCTAAATGGCGTCAATGGAAAAAACAAGCTTCAATTTAAAGCTAGAAAACAACTGAAGAATTTTAGATAGGAGTCTTGTGAACACAGTTGTTTGGTTACAGGTGGTGGCAAAGCCAATACAAGTCCTTGCTCTTAGCAGCTCATTCTTGTTCCTGCCGCGGACTGGTTAAATTAGAAGATACTACACTGTGCAGTTCAAGAAAGGGTTATTTTTATACTGGGTCACTTTAGTGATCCAGCTCACAGGGTGACCCCATGGTTTCCCCCTAGCAACCAAGAGGACGGTAAAATTTTTTCATACCAGTTTTTCTGCTGAAGCCAGCATATCAGGTAATCACACCTCAAGAGCCTTGGCTGTGTGCCTGAGAATGGTAAAAAAACTTGAAAATTTAATTCATTTTTTTTATTCCCATTTTCTCTTTTGAAAAAAATTACTACTCTGTAGTAGTCTGGGGATTTCTCCAAATTTAGAAAAGTTCCAGATGGCTCTGGTGCACTGTTCAGTCGGGCTTTCTTTTGCTGTCTGTAGCTTTTCAAAAATGAATCTCTGTCATGCTATCAAGAGAGAGGATGAAAAATAATACATACTTATGAGTTACTCATTCTTTGACAGAAAGAAAAATGAGAGACATACTCATTCACTTTTTAACCTTTATATAGGATTTTTCATAGGTTTTCGTTTCTGTGTTGAATTCATTGCCATCTAAATGGAAGATAATTGTGATAGAAAGTAGGAAGCTATTAAAGTGATTTGTAATCCCAGTGTTTAAAGGTGTAAACCAGATGATTTTGTAACAGTGAACTGATAAGCCTGGCATCGGTCTGAGGTAAAATCTTGGACTGGTTGGTAGACAACACAGTCAATACAAGGCTGAAGGGCAGAACAAACATGGCCGAGAGATCAGACTGGAACGAACAAATAAATTTGTTCTTGAGAAGACTGCATTTTTGACTGATAAGGAAACCAGTTGCAATACCAGTTTCTGTAAGACATTAGTACCACGTTGCATTTCAGGTGAATATGTGAATGTAATGTAATTCATATTCAGTAGCTCATGTAATTCATATTCAATAGCTCAAAGCTGATTAATGTATTAGAAAAAAGTTGCAAGTCACACAATGGGATAGCTTCTGATGTGTTCCAGGAGAGATCCGTTCTCTGCTGAAAACTGGTAATTTTTACCAGTCATCAGGGAAAGTAAAGTGAAGGCATTTAAAATGTGGATGATACAGATCAATTGATAAAGAAAACACAATTAAAAAAAAACAAAGAGGCATTTTAATGCTGCCAAATGGAAGGCTTATATCTGGGAACAAGAAGGAACAAGTTGTGACTTAGAATAGAGCAGCGCCGTCTTACAGATCAAGTAATGACAGGGTAATGCAGTGGCACAAGAGATACTTGACTGTATCATCAGACAAAAATTCATTAGGAATAGGAAGGTGAGGTAGCTCGTAGACCTTCAGTGTCCGTATCAGAAAATCACACTCACTATATGGAAAACTATAAGAGGTTCAGAGATTTAGGAACACTTGGGGTGCTTTGGCACACTTGCAGAGCTGCCTTCTGTTGTGAACCGGGACAGGAAGAACATACGGACCACAAAAAGGCTTTGCAGTAAACAAAGAATAACAAGATCTTAGGATAGGAAGCAATAAGAAAAGCTAAAACTAGAAATGAGACACATGGACTGAACAGCCAGCATAATTAGAGTTTTTAGCAAGGAAAATGTTGCATGTACCCTGTGTAGGTTCTTTAGGTTTAGCTTGGACGTTGTTCTGTAGGGCACACTGTCTTCCATTCGAAAGCTGATAGAAGTATCGTGGAGGAAAGTCTGCAGGAGCAGTAGGCCAGCAGTCTCAATGTGAATCAGTGGCTGTTGTGATCCCTTCTTTACGTGAAAACTGGGAAGAGAAAGGTCTTTCCAGCAGTGGTGAGAAATGGTGTCGTCCGTGGGGCCCTGGCAGAGCTGCTGGTGGCACGGGAGGAGATCCAAGTGCTGGGAGGCGCGTGGGGCAGCAGGCAGGAGCGTGCGTTCCTATCACCTGAGCAACGCAGAGTAGTGGAACCTATGAATCGATGCTGACAAAGCTAGTCCTTCTCACAAAACCTGAAGCTAAGTCAAAGTCCTAGTGATGTCTGGTTCTTGTTTTCTTCTTGCTGTGTGGTTTATCCCTATGGTAAAACAGAGTAACTATTTCAGTATGTGCCAAGAAGCATGTATGTTTGCAGTATGTTTCTTGGCTATGATAGAGGCTTTTCACATAGGAGGGTTCTTTCTCTTCTGTCTTTCATTTGCTGTTTCCATTTGGCTAATTGCTATATTCTTATGATTATGCTCTAATATCTTATCCTGCCACTTCTGGTACGCACGTTTAAAATACACATCAGTTGTCTCTAGATCAAGGTGATCAAGAAGAGTCATTCATCTTTTGCACCCACAAATCCTTTTGTCGCCAGATCAACAGACCTCCCTCCTTCCATAACTCATCAGATTTCTGTGATTTGACTTCACGTTTCACGGGTCTGTGGGCAGTTAGGGTAATGTTTTTGTTGACGTTGAGACATTCATTGGTATTTTACTTTTTTGTTCATGTTGATTTATCTGAGTACAGAATTCTTTATAAACCACCAGGTAGGCTGACCTTGATGTATTAAATTTTTTGTTCTGAAACATTTATAATTTACGTTCAATATAAACTACAGACAATTTAACTCAGGAATGTATTGTTTTATTATTATCATTTATTAGATGGAAACTTTCACTTATTCATCTGAAAATCAATGACTTGTTTTACTCTATGCTCTATGAATAGCATATTTTTTCATGGCCTTTTTTTGTTTGGCTAGTTTATAGGATCAAATGTATGAAATTATCGCCATCTTTTTATTTTGTTTGGTTTTTTTTTTTCCTAGTAACCTTTTATTAATATTTATATATTATCCCTTTTTAATGTCTATTCTAGGAGGACTTGTTGGTATTGAGGAAAACTGTGAAATCCTTTCTGGCTGTCTGCCAGCAGTGTCTATCAAATGTCAACACTCCAGTCAAAGAACAGGTAAAGGAAATGTCTGTCACATGCTTTTAGAAAAGTGTGAACATTAGACTGTAGTAAAACTCAAGACAACACTGTATCAGACTTTAGAGTAAAATCATCTGTGCCTTCTGTCTAAAAAAAACTGGACAAACTCCGTAAGAGCAGCTGTATTAAAAGCACCTTCAAAGCACAGCTAATGTCAAATTAATTTTTGATATAACAATAAGGATTACCTGGATGCTTAGGCTCAGGTTCAGCTGTCTCAACTTTAGGCATCTCAGTCACCTAAAATAAAAGCCTAATCCTTTAGACACTTACTGTATTAATAGATGGAAACAGGCACTTTTAGAGGGTGCTTGAGACCTCATATGGGCTTGAATCTTTGTGTGTTTCTGGATTTTTTTCCCCTGTTGTTGACTAACAGGGAGCCTGGAGTGACTGCTTTCCTGCCAAAGGCAAATGCCTGAAGCCTCGATGGTATTTCATTATTTTGTTACCCTAATAATTCAGTTAAATGTAGTGGTTAATACTAATTATTGTATCTCTTTCCCATTGTGGCTAATGGGAGAAAATTGAGGCTCCTAGCAATACAGGTCATACTACTGCATATTTTCTGGCAGAAAAAAAGAAGTTAATCAATTTTACAAAAATACCCTGAGTAACACTAAGAATGTAGTGACCTCTCACACTATGCAAAAATCGTCACTTCACAAATAGTTATGTCTCCTTGAGAAATGAGAGTAAAGTATCTATTTAAACAGTGTCTTCATTATAGAAATATAAAGATCTGGAGAGCTTTTTTAGATTCTCATCGATAAAACCATTATAGCTTAGGTTGCTGTGCTTCCCTGTTTGGTAGGCTGACTGAAAACTTAAGCGCTTGCACCTCTCTGCATGTGTACGTGTACGCACACATATGCCAAAAGTATGTATGTGAAATACGATTGCATAATAAGGTATCAGATTTTTTTATGGTTCAGTGTAGTTACCCAGTTCTCTGGTTTAGATTTTTGGAAAGCCACGCATACATGGAGTGAGAAACCTCTGCTGTATGTATTTGAAATTGAAATAAAAGAAATGAAATCGAAGGGCTTGTTGAAATAATTCACACTTTCTGAAAAAAACAATGGCTAGTTTGTTTGCTGAGGTTTTATGAATATATTCTGATTTATATCAAGTCTATTGACATCTTTTAGTTGTCTACAAATTGCATTTCTACCTCCCAAGATTTTGCAAAGACTGAAACTAACTGGCTTGTTTAAAAGATAATGCTTCTTAAAAGACAGTTTTATTTTTTTGGAAGATAGCTCTGCTTGGCATTTACACTGTGTTCTGCAAGTTGATAAATATGAATATTAAAGGCTCAGAGATGTCACCAGTTTATATATTTTTAAAAGACTCTGGAGCATCATTGTCTTCCAGCAGATTTAACTTTAATAATTGTTTTTTAATATTCTGAGTAGTTACTCTTGGCATATTTTATTAATATTATATAATGTGAGCATATCATCTAGCTTCATGAAAATACCAACCATTCTAGCTTAAGCTAGCACTAATGTCTTTTCTGCATCAACAAATGGTAAATGATCTTTCCCATCACTGCAGTGGTTTTGTTCTTGATATATATTAACATGTTCTTATTCTCTTATTTTAGTGGCCACCATTTTTTTTTCTATTGGTAATTTAAACTTTTCTTAGAAGCTCCTTTGCAGTTCACAATTCTGGGGAAGCTTTCAAGCCTCAGCTAGACAAAGCCACGACCAACCAGACCTAAAGACAGCAAGTGTCCCAATCGGAGTAGGTGGGACTAGAGCTCCAGAGGTCCCTTCCAACTAGCACTTCTGTGATCTTTTTCATTTTCTTCCTTAAAAAGTGTATTTCTGCAAGTGCAGGACTGCTTCATAATCCTCCTGATTTACTGGATTTTTTTTGAGAACTCTGGGTAAATTATATTATCTCCCTACCATATTTGATTCTCGATCTAGATGTTCTTTCCAGATAAGATCAATGTACGTATCAAAGGAAGGAAAAACGTATTAAGTATTTATAGAAACAGGACTCAAACATTTCAAATTTTCCTAGACTATTTGAGTGAAATAAATCCCCTGTGACTGGACGTCTCTACAATATACAGACATCTGTATCAGAGTCCACTGCTGTCTTTGCATTGGCCGGAAATAAGCACTTTCAGTGCATTCTTCATACACTCTTTTTTAGAGGTCTACATTAGGATGAGCTTAAATTCTGTTCGAGTATCAAAGGAGTTTAGAGAAGGTGAGATCATCACTGAAATGAATCACAACTTTTTGGATCCGGTGGAGAAGAATCCCAAATAGTGGCATCTGTTTCCAAAGTCTAAGTAGAACATAGTTTACAATGATTTGCATTTTGTTCTTGCCTGAGTATAGCTCATTCAGATTTTATAACATATTCCAAGAAATAAGTGAACTGCTACGACGTTCAGTGTTCACAAAGATTTCATTCTGGAAGTTTGTAAAGCAGATTGCTCTCACTCACTACTTTTCCTTAGGCTCAGTTCAAAACTGTGTTTAAACACACATTTCACTGTCTTTCTGTTCAGCTGTTTGTAGAGGGGGAATATAGGACTGAATTCAAGCCTACACTGGATTTCATGACTCTGTCAGAGCTGTTCTGCCATCTCTCTTTCGTTGAAAATGCCTCTGGCCTACCACCTACCTGGGAATCGTGATTGACACTGCCCTGAGTGAGACTCCTGCAGGCTTCTGAGGGAAGAGACGGCACGTCCAGCATAGATCTTCTAGGAGTCTTTTTACACGTTCATACTTTGAACCTTCCTCTCTTTCACAGTTTTCAGATCCTGAGGTTAAAGATAGAGAAACTAAGAGGATTAAAAAGTACTTTCTGAAAGGTGCTCAGGTGTTGACTGTAATGCAGATGAATGCAGCTGGCTCTGACACCCTGACATAAGCCGTGGGGGAAAATAGTGTTATTCTCGTGCATGAGAGTGTACAGATAAGCCCTTGAAAGAAATAAAGTTAGTAAGAGCTGCTTTCTTTCTCTGTTCTCAGGTAATGAGGGTGTGACAGTAACAAGCATAAATCATTGAAAATCCTGCCCTGGTCAGCTTTTATCTAGATTTGAAAGCTGTGCAGAGTTAGTTGATGCTTTTTGCAGAGAATTGTTGATTAAATTCTGCAAGAATTTCTTTGCTTACAGCTGCTGCTCTGTATTTTCAGGATCTGACAGTGACTCAGCTTGGATTTTCCCCTCATAATGTTGTTCCTTTTTTTTGCTTGTTTATCAAAAGAGGTGTTTTTTCTTTACTACAAATTTGGCTACAGTCTTTGGATCAGAGGGAGATCTAGAGTTCTTTTCATAGAGCAGAAATAGAAGTTTAATATGGCTCATCCTGGACATGGGAGAGGTAGTAAACACAGTTCTTTGCAAAGGAATCAAAGGTGTAACATTTTTAAGTTAGAGGAAACCCTTACAAACACACACAGCACACGAACAACAACTGAATACAGTTAAAGAGGGACATTTAATAATAGCAAGGGATACCTGGAAATTAGATAAAAGGTATTTTATTTTTTACTTATTTGACTTACGTTCCTTACTGCATTCATTCTTTTTTTGCCTTTCAGGCTTTCATGCTGCTCTGTGATCTCTTGATGATTTTTAGTCATCAGCTGATGACTGGAGGTCGAGAAGGTCTTCAGCCTTTGGTGTTTAATCCAGATTCAGGCCTTCAGTCAGAACTTCTCAGTTTTGTGATGGACCATGTCTTTATTGACCAAGATGATGAAAACCAGAGCATGGGTATGTTTAGCTTTCATGTTTTCTACTTAGCTTGTTTTCATAACAGACACAGAAGAAAGGAGGAAATAGAATTTTCAGATCAGTTTGCTCAACTGTTTTCAGAGTTATTCCTTCTTTATTTTTGGGAGATGTGAATATGAAATAGTCAATATTCAGTGCTACTTGTGTTAAGAATAAGTACTTCCAAAGTTCACTTTGTAAAAAAAGATGTTTTGAGAAGACATGGGACTGGCCTAAAACATCCTGCTATAAATCTGGGCAAAATTACTCTTCCTTTACTGATTTTTTTGGTTTGTTTTTTAAATATTTATTTCCAAAACAGTACAGTCTTGGTTCAGCAACAGACTTCATTTAATATGGCTTCAAGGGAAGAAATACAATGAAACAGTACACAGAAGAGAAATCCTTTAGAGTCACTAAATAGAGTTATAGGATCCTGAAGGCAAAACTTACCAGCTAAGCTCTAGGCAAAGAAGGCCGTAAGAAACTCTGATGTTACTAAATAAACACCTCTTCTGCTCCTCCCCCAAAAGAATCAAATCAAGCTCAGGACATCACTGATTTGGTTGGAGCCTAGGAAAGTACTTGGGAAAGTATCGTGTATGCTTGCTTGCTTCCTTGCTCTTTCCTAGGCATCTGTGCATGGCCATGCTTTGAGAGGTCGGAGTTGGAGGTGACTCCATCTCTACCTCCTCACAAGGATGACTTGAGATTTTTGGCTTGCAGTCACAGAGAGGCAGATTTGTCATTTAGGTCTGGTTTTAAATTACTTGGTGCTGCTAGTGTGTGTTATAAATGCCTAAATGCAAGTACAGAGGTATCCAATTTCTGAATCCTAAATAGCTTTGGACAAGAGGTGGAGTCCCAGATAGTCAAGCTATGTGAAAGAGCTGCTAAGTGCATATGGTAGTGCTCTTTTTGGCACGTTTTCTGAATTTCCGCTGTACTCGGTTACTTGTACATTAGCATGACGCATAGGTGCTATTTTAGATCTTTTAAGACAGCAATATATAGAACTAAGGTCTCGGAGAATGTGTTCTTGCTCTAGAGGTGCTTTCAGTTTTCTAGCTCCCTTGCTCCTCAGTAGCTAACATCTTTGTTGAGTATCTCTTTAAGGATTCCTGGGAAAAATACCTTTTGAAACACACCTTCACCAGAAATCTGTGTGCAGTTAATCATACTTCGTGAGTTCAATGTTCAGAATAATACATCAAGGATAGATTTTAGGAGGACTAATTTTTTTTTTGCCCTTTAGCAAAATTGCTGTTCTTTAACATCCTGTGATTGGACTGGGAAGACAGCAAAAAGATGAATGAAGGTCTTTGTATGTAATCTCCATTCCCTAATGCTGCTCTGACTCCATGAAGTCAGTCTGACCATTTATAACTTTTGGTATTCAGAACACATCAGTAATGATAAAAAGAAATTAAAAAAGGGGGGAGGGTTGGCAGGGAGTGTGCTAGTGGGCTTCAGTTCTGTGGGTTAAATCATCTCAGGATTAAAACGTGCATGCATAGTCACAGTCAGCTCCACTGCTGGTAAGAGATTTCCTGTGGTCAAATACGTGACTCAAGTACTGTGGCTCTGTGGAGACTCTAGGAAAAGTGCAGCAAGAGGCTCTCAGTGACACTGTCCTTCCTCCTCCCACCACAGCTCTGTACTTCTTCAAGGTTGGAAGATTCCCTCCAAGAAGCAGCTCTTCTAAATACCACAGAATATTTACTTTCATCACAACTGTTATAGCTGATTTCGTTTTCTTATACGAGTTGTGGAATATGCTTTTATTATATGAGATTTAACATTTTATGAGTAGAGTTTCATTTTCATTCACAGAGTGGAGTCTTACATGGAGATTTAATACTTATGACATTGCCATTCAGTGTTAATGCTTCTTTACAACTGAATTTTACTTCGGGTTGTTGTTGATGCTTTAGAGCCATTGGTTTCATACCTGAAAATCCAAGGCATGCAGTAGAAGCATTGCTGCTTCTGCTTTTCCTTATGTGAAATATTTATAGCTTAGTCATGTTAATGAAGCATCTCCAAATGTTCAGTACCTACTCAGGACTATAGGCAGCATCCCTGGTCAATGGTGTGTCATGCTCCTGAACTCTCCTGAAAGTCCTAACATGGCAGGACTCAAGAATTATCACCTTCCATTTTAGCTTCTCCAAGAATCCTTGCTTCGTTTTAAAGAATTGATTTTTTCTAAGAGCTACTCTTCAATGATGTTGCTTTAGAACATAGCAGTTACTGAAAAACATTTTATTGTTGTTGATGCTTTCAGAGGGAGATGAAGAAGATGAAGCTAACAAAATAGAAGCTTTACATAAGAGAAGAAACCTTTTGGCTGCCTTTAGCAAGCTGATAATTTATGACATTGTGGACATGCATGCAGCAGCAGATATCTTCAAACACTATATGAAGGTACAGCTCTGTACATTCTCCTCTTCCTAACTGAACACAGACTGTAGTGTCAGGGCCCCTCTTTCTCTCCCTTCCAGTGCAGTAGTTAAAGGTTGAATGCTTCTGGAAGCTTTTTCAGCCTTATTTGATTTTTTAAAATAATTTTCCTTTCTAAATTACACCTACCAGTGAGAAGCAGTAAGCTCTGAACTTCCTGTCCTGTGTAGCAGGAGTGCCTTGTTAAAGGCAGCACCAAAAGCTGGTCCTAGAAGGCGCTGAGTATTTCCAGAGAGGCTCCTCTCTACACAGAATTCCTCATCCTGCTCCTCAAACTCATTCCTAGAATCCCCAGCAACAGTTATCTGTTCAATGTCGTATTTCACTGGGAGTCTCTGAATCTTGGTGCTTGCCATACAGAAGCAGGGGTTTTGGGAGAAAAGAATGGTTTAAACAGGAAAGCGGTAAAAAAAAAACCTCTATATAGTACTGCTGTAAGTGGGTATGCATTAACTGAATGTCTTACCAACTTATGCTGCTTCCATACTTATTTAGGCCCAATGAAACTGAGAAGGACTTGCTGCTCAGCTACCACTGCACCCTCTACTTGTGAGGTTACCTGCCAGGAAACAGGCACATTAGCAGTCCTGACACTGCCAAGAAACACAGAGCCCTTCAGATTCTACCAAATTGCCAGCTATACCTCACCTGTCTCTCTGTAAGGGATTAGCCATCGCAAAGGTGATAATCAAGGAGAAAAAACTGGAAGATAGAGTAGGGAGCAGGTCCTTTACTGTAGACGGTGTTTGAGAGGTTGATATGAAATATAAAGGATTTAATTTTAAATCCTCCTTCCCCTGTTCATTAGGAGCACGCAGTACAATGAAATCCGCAGCGCACAGTCTAGCCATCAGCCAGATCACTGCTCAGGGTTAGTCTTGCTTAGGGGTTTTTTCTTCCACAGCAGGAGTTTCAAACTGAAGCTGTCCCAATCCAGCTTAGTTTCCTACCTGCTGCTCTAGGTTGGTCTTGTCCTCTCCACACGCCCCTCCTTCTCCTGAAACGGGGGGAGAGTGAGAGAAATTGAATTTAAATTAGAATACAACCTCAAAGGATCTCTGTACCAAAGACAGCAGGAGCAGCATTTTAGAGGGAATGAAAATAAGCGGTTGCAAGTGCCGAAATATTAATGAGGCTGTTTGGAAAAAAAAAATTTATATTCTCAGCCTGGAAGTTTTAATGATTATACAGGCTTTTCTACCCAAATGGTCAGTACCATAAGCTGTGGTTTTCAGCAACCATTCTTCTAAAATAAAGTCAGCACTTCATACTGACTAATTCCTTACTAGCTTCAGTGAATTCCTTTCTTGGCCATCTAACTCACCTTGCATTGTATCTGGGGCTTCACACCTGTGTGCTAGTGTCTCTCCACACCTACTTGTTGAGGGGTGTGGTGGTTCAATGTAATGTTGTTTCTTAGAATTTGCAACCATGGGTCACTTTCATCAAATATTTAGTTTGAGGTAGGAAATAGTCTTCTGTTTGTTTTTCAACATATTTGTTACAAAAGATAGTAACAAATACAGAAGTTCCTTACCTCATCACTGGGTGCCGGCTACCAATCAGTTTAAATTTTGATATTGAAACATTGACTCCCACTCGCGCAAAAAATCTGGATTTGAGACTAGGTTTTTTGACAACTGCTACCTTTTCAAAACAGGAAATACAAATAATCTTTCTATCAGGAAAACTGTAAGAAATTATTTAAGAGTTTCAATTTAAAGAGGGTTTTTTCCACTTTTTTTCCTAGTACTACAATGACTATGGAGATATCATTAAGGAAACCCTGAGCAAAACCAGGCAAATTGATAAAATCCAGTGTGCAAAGACACTCATTCTCAGTTTGCAACAGGTAAGAATATTGATTTTTGTTAGAAATGCCTCACTGCAAATAATACTACAGAGGATTTTCTCTGGTGCCCTTTACAACGAAGCGAAAATACTACACTTCTGTTAAGGGCTTATCTTGCTCCTCAATTCAGGCTGTCCCTGTTCATTTGTCTCAGTAATCTCTGTCTCCTTAAGCCCACACTGGCAAAGTTTTGGTCAGATTAAGATGGCAGAAAGGGAGGAAAGAGCCTTCAAGGCAATTTGTTCCAAGCTGATTCGTAGCATTTGTTTGCTGGTACGTAGTGAACAAGAAGAATTAGGATGACTTTTTCTTCTTATAATTAGCTGGAAGTAATGCATCTTCTTTACATTTTGTCTAAATACTGATTGATTTTTCAAAATTCAAGCTAATTAGTTTAAGTCTTCCAATATTATTAAACATGATTTTTCTCTGAAAAATTTGCTTTAGATCAACTATAAAATACTGGCTTGATGATGAAATCCATCCTTGTTCTGCCAACAGCACAAAGTGTGTGCTTCACTAAATACCATTTAGGCCCTTGAAGCACCAGCTATATCCATTACACAGAGAAATTACTTCCATAAATTAGATGTTTTCAAATCAGCTAGGCCTCCCAAAATTCATTCCAGAGTAGTAGGGGGTTTCCTGTAGCAATCTGGAAGCTGAGATATCTCTGTGAAAGCTTGAGAAAAACAGGTGTGCTTCCAGAAGAATCGGCGAGTGTCAAAGTAGTTCCTGTCTTTAAAACTTGGAGAGAGGAAGAAGCCAGGTGCCATGGGTCAGTCAGCCTAATACCATTTCATGAAAAAAAAAATAATTAGACAAGCTATTTGCAAGTGCCTAAGTGACAGGTAACAGCCAGTATGAATTTGTCAAGGAGAAATCATGTAAAATTAAGCTGCTTTCATTAATTATATGGTAACAGAGCTTGTGGCTATCAGAGAAACTGTAGATTTAATGCAACTTGATTTAATATTGTCACTGACACTGTCTCCCTTGATATTCTCATTAGCGAGTTAGGAAAATGTGGTCTAAATGACAATGCCAGAAGAAGATATAGAACTGATTGGAAAACTACCGAGTAGTTCGTTATTGTACTGAAAGGGCATTATCAAGCAGGCTTTGAAGGCATTTACCCAGTAATGCTGTTCAGATATTCATTAAGTCTTGAATGATGGAATAGCAATTTTGCTTCCCAAATTCAAAGAAGATGCTGATCTGATGAGTGCTGTAGGTATTTTAGAAAGCATAACAATGCGGAACCATCTTGTTGAGTTGGGAGAATAACAGATGCAATTCAGTGAAGGTAAGTGCAAAATTCTGTTACCGTCCGCACAAGTACAAGACGGGGGACAACCGGCAAACAGCAGTTACACAGAAGCAAGCCTGGAAACTGAAGTGGAATAGAAGTTGAATATAAGAGAACTCTTGTTACACCTCTGAAAAAAGTCCTTTTAATGTCCACTCTTAGCCGTAACAGGTTAAAAACAAGTGTCTTTCTTAAGAAGAGTGTTTTCTAGGTCACAGATTTTGACAACTGAATTCTTTCTCTAGCTGTTTAATGAGCTTGTTCAGGAGCAAGGTCCCAATTTGGACAGGACATCTGCCCATGTTAGTGGAATTAAGGAACTGGCCCGTCGGTTTGCCCTCACTTTTGGCTTGGATCAGATCAAGACAAGAGAGGCTGTGGCCACACTACACAAGTGAGTGGTGGTAAATAAACTAGATTTTTATATTATTTCAGATTAAAACTTTTGCTCAGCGTACCTTTTCTAAAGGTACGTAATCTTAACAGGTCCTGGAATCATGATATTTTTTTTTTCTAATTTATGTAGAAAAATGGTGGGGGTTGTACATGTATGTATGTAAGAAAGGGAAAAAAACTAGCTGCTACCTAATAATTTGTTGGAATTTATTGGAATGGCCATGTTTATCTACCTTGGGTAAAGCCACTGGTATTAGACATATTTGTGTGGACTGTATCTAACAACTGTAGATGGTTCTTTGTACCACACCACTCTGGATTCTGTAGGCACCAAGGACTTTTGTAAAAAGATATTCCAAAAATATTTTGGAAATCTAGGGGGTTGTTTTAAGTGGATTGAAGCTTTTTATGTAACTGCTGCAAAGGAAGTCTAGAAAGGTGCCGCTAAATTTAAATTATGGCTTTCCTATGCCATAAAAAGATTAAAATATTAAAGTTTGCTATCTCAGAGACTAAGTCATTAAGACTCAGATTAGCAAGGCATGATCAAGATGCTAGCGGACATTTCCCTGTGCTGAGCAAAAGAGAAGTCAAGACATGCATGTGCCCTTATTGGATAATGTGAAAGTAAATTCTTTTCTTTAGTCTCAAATGATAAAGCCAAGGTAGAGATGCATGTATCAATGTCCTGGTAAGTAAATTCTCTTCTCCGACTCTTGATGCAAAAGTTATATCTTGTTCTGTCTTAAATATTGTTCTTATTGCAAGCTTCTGCTTCATGCAGAAACAAGAAAGAGCCAATTGGCTATTCCTGCTAAGGTCAGCGGCTTTCAGCACCTGCCAAGGTCCTTAGAGTGTGGCAAGTTCCTTCTTACCATGGGACTGGTAATATGTTGGCTTTGAGATTGAATCCTCACAAATTGAGAGGGAACATTTGATTCCCCTTTGTCCAAAAGCAGCTGTTTGCTAATAATGAAAAAAAAAAGTTATGATGGGATATAAAGATATAAAGAATTTCATCACAGGTCAGATTTTGGGCAACATTTTTTTTTTTTGTTACAAATATCTGAAAATTTTAATATTTCTTTACTGTAGAGATGGCATAGAGTTTGCCTTCAAATATCAGAATCAAAAAGGACAAGACTATCCACCTCCTAACCTTGCTTTCCTTGAAGTGCTTAGTGAATTTTCTTCTAAACTCTTGCGACAGGACAAAAAGACTGTGTAAGTAATGCTCCAGTTTCTTCTGTGGGTTTTGCTGGGCTCTGTTAATCACTGTAGTGTGTGTTTAAGCTCTCTGCTTTGAGGTTTTCACAATCTAACAGGGGCTATAGGAAGTCCCAGTGAGACATTTCACATACATAGTTACTCATCACTTTATATTTTAAAGTAATAAAAATAAATGAGAAAAGGAGAGTCAGATCCACTGATGAGGTGAGTTTGAGACCTCACAAAACAGTATTCCTTAAAATTTCCCATTGGGCACTGAAAATAAAAAAAATCTTTTTTTCAAGCTAGAGGAAGGAAATGAAATAGTGCAGTGCAGGAAATTTACAGGCCTGTAAACACTGCAGTAACATCTGTTTCTGTTACATGTTTACATTTTATGTAAATATCTATTTGTTGTTTATTTTAATATATTAAGTTAAACTGGGAAATAAAGGTTTGTTGAGGCTTCTGTTACTGGCACAACAGGACAGAGAAGGAGGCTGAGAGAGGACAGTGTTGTTGGTTAGGACAGAGCAGGCTGGTAGAGACCTGGCAGGCTGTAACAAGCAGCCTGAATTTGATCTGGTGGGTAATTACTGCAGATGAAATACTGGAAATTAAAGAAATCAGAGGTGTTGTTGATAAGATATGAATAAAGAGCAAGAAATACTGTTTTATGGGCAACATTTGAACAGACTGTCAAGAGGGGCTGCGGGTATCAATAGAATTGGCAAAGAGAAAACTGCATTATTAGGGGCAAGTTCATAGTAAAGACGTTGTCAACATGACTGCGGAGATAACGCTCTACATTTCTAATGCCTTATGTAGCAGATATCCAGGATTTGGCCATGGTGCAGAAGTAGTAAGGGAAAAAGGAAGCAGACTCCGGTTTAAAATTAGCCAAGCACTGCGTGCCCAATGTAGAACTGAATTCTTTGAATAACTTTATGACCATTTAAAACATGCAATTGTCAGATCTTCTGATTCATAGTTATAGATATCTTTCCAGTCAATTTTCTGACCACAGTGAGTGTAAGTCATAGATAACTACTCTACCTACCTCAAGTGACTCTGTCAAACTTCTCTGTAGTTTTTCTGTGCAGACATTTGCTTTAAAGGACTTTTCTATTAGTGTTAACAATTATGAATATTATAGCTTTATCTGTGTTATAAGAAATGTGTCTTGGTTAACTTTGTGTAATTGTTAACATATCCACACTTGAACCAATTTTATTTTTTCATTGTATCAATAATTTGTTAATTCAGCAAACAGTAGAAGAAATAGTTAAATGAGCTTGAGAATTGGTTGATCTAGTTGGGCTAGCTTAGCACTCAATTTTTGAAACTGCTCTTCATTGTTATATCCTTGAATGTTGTCAACCTCTGTCCTATCCTTCACGACAGGCCTTAAGGATAATGGGGTTTTATGACTGTCTTCCTAGCTGAACCGTAGATTCTCCTGCATCCGTTAGTTTAAGTGCCATTAGCCTGATTCCTATTTAGTTTAGTGACGCTTATCCTTCCTGTACAGTCATCATCGCATCCACAAGTTTCTCCAGTGTCTAAAATTTATAGTTACATCATTCTTTACAGTTTACATGACAGCTTAATTTGACCTGATCCTTCGCATGAAATTCAGTGCTTCAGGAGATCTTGCTCCTTCGCCTTCTATGTTGCCATTTGAATTTTTTTCTCGAAGGTTCTCCCACTCGTCGGTGCCCATGCACACAACCACTGGCCTCTTTCGCAGGACTGTAAAGATGGCTGTGGTGGAATCCATTTCTCCTGATTTTATCTGTCTTTATTGTAGTCATCTGTATCTGAGCTATTTCCTTCAGCTGGATTTGAAGATCAGGGAAAAGAAATAGGTCCTTTAGGGCACGATTTATCTGATCTGTGCTAAATTACTGCTTTAAGATGAGTTCAGACATGCCCTAGATTCCAGTGGCTGTGGTGACTATGAAAAGAGCCAAGATAACTTGCTTATATGTAAAGATTTCTTTTGGAGATATCGACGTTCCTTCCCTTGAGAGGTCTGCCATGTTTGCACCCATCAGGCAATGGCTTTGTTGCCCACAGTGCCTCACTGACATGACACACTGGGCTGTGCTCTGGGTAGTTGATTTGCCCTTCTCTGTAGCGTGACTCCTCCAATCCACAGGGACCTCTCCCCCTCCCTCCAAAGGGGTTGCCTACGAACAGGAAGGTACATGACCACCATCTGGTGGAGAAGTCCCGTGTACAGGATCATTTACCTCCCTCCCTGCCTTGATCTCCTCCTCCCCAGTGACCGTCCCTAAACTCAGCAGTGGGCTCTCAGGCTGGGGGCCAAAGTGCTCTAGAATAACCCTGAAGGTCTCGTGAGCATAGAGCTGCCCGTCTCCCAGAAGTCCTCCAGCTTGGCTTCCTGACCTCAAAAAAATGAATTAGCTACCCGATATGTCTGCATATGCCGTCTGCCCTTGGTACAAAGCTCCGTTCCCGTCACAGTTCCACAAACACTGCCCTTTTGCAGGGCTCCTGCTGCCTTTCTGGTTTGCTGCTGGCTTTTTTATTTGGAGGGAGAAAAGGGAGACATTTCCAGTTTGGGAATGGAGCAGCAACATCGGTTTAATTTAGTTTTCTTAGCCACTTTATTTATTCGGCTTCTCATTTTATGAGTAACCTCCAGAATTAGTGATAGCCATTTATGGAGTTAATCAAATCTATGGATTTAATATAAAACTAGACATTTAAGGTGCCAGACTCTTACACTTAGCAAAAAAAGATTTATACTAACGCCATTACAAAGACACAAGGCAGATACAGGCAGGGAAATCCTGAGGGATTCATCTAAGACAGTGTAGAGGTGAATTGCCCTGTGGAGGCATTTAGTTCCATTTATTTCTCTGAAATAGAGAGTTAGCTTAGACAAATGGGTTTCTGAAGTCAGATGAGGCTGAGCCTCAGCATAGTTCTTGCTTCTAGAAATTCAGAGTTTCTGTCCTTGTTGAAGCTGGTAAGAACTGCCAATATGAAGCTCCTCTAAAATGCTGAGCAAAAGTTGCTTCAAGTTTGGCGTCTAATCAATAGAGAACTCCCAAGTGGTGCGGTTTTTCCTTCTTCACAATTTGGGCATAACCTGTGCACTCCAGTTCTATAAATATAAATTGGATGCAGAAAAACTTCTTACTTTCCAAGACTATTCTGCAAATAGATTCTCTGAAGTCATGAAGCACTCACGTGTTGCACTGTTTGGTGCTGGAAAAGAGAGAATAAACCAAGAATTGCCCATTCAGTGCCAGGTTTGGGTGTTACTCAGTCTACACATGAAAAGGGGAAGGAAGAAGCATTCGCAATATTGGATAAAACAATGGACAGAAAACCTGCCGTTTCTTGAGCAAAGTCATCTCATTCACTGAATCAAAACAAAATCCCATCAAAAATCGGGTATGGTTGTTGCCCAGGCATGTACAGGGTGGCTCCTTGTCCTGTTCTGAAAGTCGGACTCTGTAACAAGTTCGAGCCTGCCGTGAGCTAGCAGAGGAAAATTCTGCAATTCCGTGCAGAATTTGTGGGTTTGACTCCCACTGATGACAACCTGGTGATGTGTTATTAAAGGCAATCGTGATCCAAGGGTGCAGGAAGTAATGTTGAAGTATCCTGAGTTCTCTTGAAACTCATTAGGATCACTTTTCTGTGAATTTGCATATTCATTCTGAGGACGACTTCTAATACCGTAAATAAATAATCAATGGGAAAAGAAAACAACTCAAGTGCCCTCCAGACCATACAGAGGAGGGAGGTGGTTTGGGTCCTCCCTTAACAAGTGTGCACTGGACTTCTCCATGGCAGTGGAGCAGATCTTCAAATTTTTTATTGAAAAAGAACTGCTTGCATTTGAAGAAACCCTTTTTCATGTTCCCAGATGCAAAAGGATATCCTACATCCTCACAACAGTGGTTCTAATTCGGTCGGTCTGTGGCCACAGTAGCAATATAGAGAGGTGGCTTCCTCACGATGCAAAATAGAAAAGGAATTCAAGTAGAGTGTGCTGTGAGTGATCACAGACAAATGTGGGAGGCAGATGTTGGGGAGAGAACGTTTTGTATTGTTTATCTGTGAGTAACCTGTGCATGATTAACGACATTACTTTGTTTTGAGGGAGTGACTTGTATTCTTGTTCAGTCAGAGATACAATGCCCTATCAGCGTAGGTTATTAAATTAAAATAAGGAAACACCATGCCGGATTTGTGTTAAGGTCTCAACCACATGAAGAAGGGTTGCAGATTAATTAAAGGGGAAACAATGTGCTGCGCTTCTGTACTCATTGTCTTTTATTTTCAGTCACTCCTACTTGGAGAAGTTTCTGACAGAACAGATGATGGAAAGAAGAGAAGATGTATGGCTTCCACTCATCTCCTATAGAAACTCACTAGTAACGGGTGGCGAAGACGACAGAATGTCCGTTAACAGTGGAAGCAGCAGCAGCAAAGCCTCTTCAGTGAGGAATAAGAAAGGACGACCACCACTCCACAAAAAGAGAGTAGAAGGTTTGTATGGTTTTAGGTTGCCTGGTAGAGTTGTTTCTCATTTTGCACCTAGATTACAGCTTTCCTCCTTAGGAGCCCTTATGGTTTATCAATTAATGCTGAAATATATGATACATTCTGTATGTAGTGAAAACAAGACATCTGCTCTGCAAATTCCTATCAAGCTTGAACATGTCTTTATCAGAAATACCATCGCGATCCTTGTTCGTCTTTGGAGATTTGCAGATTCAGAACCATTAAAAGCTGTTACTGAAGCTGGAAACAGGAGGTGTTTGTGGAGGTACCTGCTCTACACCTTCCTCTGGCACGGACTTCTGGTTGTCTGCCTACGCTTCAGGCTCGAGCCGTTGTTAATTAACAGGGTGTTAGGGCAAACCCAAGGCATAAATTCTGATACAGATCTGTATTTTTACAGGACCGCTGGAGAACACTACAAAGACACCTTTTTTTTGTTTAAAATGCTGTTGATATCCAGTGTCTATATTTATTTTTTCTGTGACTTCAGGCCTGTTCATCAAGAATTTGGCATTGATAGCAAATTTCTTACAAGATGGCATCTATTCCTGGTTAATCTGTATGATGTTGTGTGTACTTTTGTGAATATAAATGTACTGTTTTGCTACAGAGTAGGTGTAAGTGGGATCTTTAAACTTCAGGGATTTTTCCAGGGTCAGTATCTATGATAGTAACTCCTCTGTAAGGAATCTAATGCTAATTTGCCTGAATATACAGCAGTTTCCCAAAATATTCTTCGTAAGTTTGTCCATATGCACTTCTACAATCAGGTCCATTCTCCGCTACAGCTTATGTTGAGCAGTATGTGCACCAAGTCCTAAGCCATGATTTTCACAGAATTCAGCTGCTGAGGGTTTTTTTTCTTTCCTCTTGTTACTATTTTAATTCTATTTTATTGTATTCTACCAATATACTTTTTTTTTCCTGGGAAGTGTAGTTACGTCTTTGCTTCCCTGGAAGCCCAGTCTCAGTCTTACGTCATAGTTTTTAGGCATTCTTTGCCTCATGCTCTTTCATGTCCTCCTCTGTCAATGATCAATAGAAGGGAGAATTGATTTGCAACACTTTCCACTTGAATATCCCCATTCTTTGCAACAGCTGTGGTCCTGAATTTTCCATAAATGTAACTCACTTAAAGTGATGTAGGCTAAATCCATGGTTGTTCAGTTCCTGAAAGATCTGACTGATCAGCAGTTCCCACCGGGAGATCATCTAGCTGCAATACAGACTATGCCAAGGCTCACGATGGGTCTGACAGGATTCTGACATCGACATACATCTACAGAGAGGGTATGAGGGTCTGTATACGTTCTACCAACACCGTGTCATCAGAAGACACCCAGGATTGATCTAACCTTAGGCAGAGTGGTCTAATGTCACCGTACGCTACTCTAACTCCAAATTCCTCTGTTAGTAATCTGTGGCCAGAAAAAGACTGATGAATGCTGCCTCTCGTGGGGTGCTCTTGTGGGTGGGGTACGGGCATGTCCTCTGAATACTACACATACAGCTCTGGCTCACAGTGTAAGGTTCAAGGAGAACACATTTTGAAGAACACTGGTTACGAAACGATTTCCTTCTCCTTTCTTCCTTAAATTCCTAGATCACTATGCAGACCTTCATTACTCAGGAAAGCTTTGCTATACAGCCTCAGTGTATAGGTCCAGGAAGGATGTTCTAGCCCATAACAGCATAACTGTCTTTTCCTTGATAGATGCCTTCATTGTAGAATTTGACTGCCTGGTAGATGATAGAACTGAAAAATTACCAACAAATGCTCTCTTAATACAGCAGCAACACAAGCTCTATGGCCCTTCCTTACATCGAAGGATATGCAATGCAAGCACCAAAAGTCTTGGTTTAGATATGTGTTAATAAAGGACATTTGATACCATATGTGGAAAAAAAAACCATAATAATACAAGCAGTTCAAAGGACACAACGTAATTTTTGGATGCTCCTTGATGTGCAGTAGGCATTTCTGATTGTGTTATGCCCTGAGTACACTTCCTTTCGAATCTTGGAAAAAGGAAAGCCAAGAAAACCTGGAGCCAGGTTGTCTGTATTTTGCACGGGAGGACATACATGGATTCCTGCACAAGCAAGGTCTTACTTCGTACCGATAATGAGCCCATGAAATAATTTGAGATTTGATCCTCAGAAATAAGTACTTACTGTTCACTTGTCTGTATAACTTCAGCTATGAAGAACCTGTCTTAGGAACAAATAAGAACTGATGGTCTGTATGTAGTGTGTACACAAGTCTTCGCTGGGTTTTTATCTTTACGTATTTTTATAACTCTTCCAAAAGTCCTAGCTTTAATCTTAACCATGCAGTACAGTTAAAAAGTTCGACCTCTCTTTAAATCCTGCTCAGATTTTTTTTTTCTTTAATTTCCACTCTAAAGGAACTAAAACAAGGGCAAGGTCACTGCAGAAACTATCCTAGCATCAAAGAACCATAACTAGTCCCCTGTGGTTCCTTTCTCACCTAAATCCAGCGTATACTGGGTT